GGACAGGTCGCGCGACGCCTCCTCGGCCCTCGCCCGCGCGGCGGCGGCGTCGCGCTGCGCCGCGTCGAGGTCCCGCTCAGTCGCGCCGGCGCGCTTCGCCGCGGCCGCCGCGGACTCGCGCGCGGCCTCGGCCTCCCGACGCGCGGCCGCGAGCTCGGCTTTCGCGGCCTCGATGCCCGCGCGCGCGTCGTCGGCGCGGCGCGCGGCGCGCGCCTTCTCGACGGTGGCCTCGACGGCGAGGCGCTTCTCGAGCAGGGCCATCTCCCTGCGCGCGGCCGCCGCGGCCGACGACGCCTCGCGCGCGGAGAGCGTAGACACGTGGTGCCCGAGCTCGCGCTCGAGCGCGGCGACGTCGCCGCCGCCGCCGCGCGCGGCGCCGCCGCGCCGCAGGGCCTCGGGCTTCGCCAGGGCCTGGCGCTCGGCGTCGCTGTCGTCGCTGAGCACGTCGTCGAAGCGCGAGTAGTCGCAGCTGTAGCCCGACTTGCGCGCCGGCGCGGGCGCCGGCGCCGGCGGCTTGAAGCCGGCGGGAATGAAGTTCGTAGGATTAAAGCCGTCGGGGATGAAGCTTGCCTTCTTCTTGGACTTCTTCGGCATGGCTACTCGCAGCGCGCAGCGACCAGCGCGCGAGCGCAGCGCTCCTCAGCGACCAGCTCGACTCGATAAAAAGAGGGTCAACTTGCAGTAATGATGCAGTGATTATTGAACCCACCTTCAGCTCCAGTGGTCGGCGACGGCGCCGGCGTCGTAGTCGACGGGCGGCGTGCTTGCGCGCGAGGCGGGCGTGGCGCCCCGCGTCGGCGTCGGGCTGCCGCGCTTGAGGAAGTCGAAGGGGCCGCCGCAGCCCATCCAGCATTGGAGGAGGCGGCCGGGCCCCCGGGGCGACACCGCTTCGTCCGCGGGCGGCGCGGGCGACGCGAGGCCCGTCGGCGGCGTCGCCGGCCGCTCCGGCTCCGCGTCCGTCGCGTCGTCGTCCGCGTCGCCGTCGTCGAAGGACGGCGTGAGGCGGCCGGCCCACGCGTCGCCCGCCGCGACGTCGTCCCAGGCGCCGGCGAGGTCGTCGTCGGCCTCCGCCGGCGCGCCCTCGTCCGCCGCCGCCGCCGGCGCGGCCGCGGGGGCGGCGTTGTCGTCCGCGGCCGCGGGCTCGGGCGTCACCGCGTCCGGCGGGTCCGGCGCCGCGCCCCGGGACGCCGACTCGGGCGTCACGGCGGGCGGCGCGTCCTCCTCGCGCACGGCGGCGGAGAAGTCGAGGGCCTTGGGCGGCGTCGGCGGCGTCGGCGGCCGCGAGCCGCCGGCGGCGCCCGGCGGCGCGGAGCCGCCGCGGCGCCGCCGCCGCACGGACACGACGACGTCGCCGAACTCGGCCTCGGCGCGGCCCGTCTCGAGGGCCGCGGACCGGAGGCCCGCGAGCCACGTCGCGCCGCGCGCCTCGTCCTCGGCGTCGCGCGCCTTCGTCGGCGTGCTCGCGAGTTCGCGGTCGTGGGCCTCGAGGGCGGCGACGAGCTCGTCGCAGTTCGCGCCGGCCTCGACGAGGGGCTTGAGCCAGCGCGGCGGCGGGCCCAGCGTGCCGAAGCCGCTCGCGACCTCCTTGACGCCCTGGCGCGCCGCGGAGGTGACGACGAGGCGCGACGACCGGCGGCGCTGGTCCGCCTTGGCGTCGTCGCTCCGGACGACGGCCTCCCAGCGCTGGCTCAGGCGCAGCTTCTTCTCCTTGAGCGACGCCCGCTCGCCGTCGGACGCCTCCTGGGGCTCGGGCGTCTGGGCCACGGGCGCCGACGCCATCGTCGACGTTCAAAAAGCTGCCCCGAGATACCCCGCCGTTTGTGCAGTCGACCTTGAAAGGCAACAAGAAGCGTAAGTCGGAGGGTTTTCGGGTCCTAGGCCCAGAAGTGCTGGATGACGAGGTCGATGGGCGTGCGGCAGACGGGGCACGAGTCCCCCCGCGCGCGCAGCGCGCGCGCGCACTCGAGGCAGCAGGCGATGTGGCCCGTCTCGCCGTGGACGAACGTCGCGTTGCGCGCGGCCGAGAGGCAGACGACGCAGAGCGTCTCGGCGTTGATGGCGTCGCCGACCTTCTCCGGCGCGACGGCCGGCGGCGCCTTGCGGCCGCCGCCGCTCCGGGGCCGGAGCGCCGCGCCCGCGCGCTGCGGCGGCGGCGGGCCCGGCGCCGCGGGCGGCGCCGCGGCCGCCGGCGCGACGCCGACGAGCTCGACGACCTCGAGGTCGTCCGGGGGCTCGCGGTTCAGGCGCTGGGAGACCCAGCCGTGCACGGGCGCCGTGAGCCGGAGCCGCGGCACGCAGTGCTGCGCCGGGTGGTCGCTGAACTGCTTGTCGCCGACCTCGACCGTCGCGCCGCACGGCACGACGTGGACGATGGCGCTCGACAGCTCCACGGTCTCGCGCACGACGGCGCCGTCCCGCAGCACCACGCGGTAGGTCAGGGGCGACGCGACGGGCAGCGGCGACGCGATGGGCCCGCGCTGGCCGCTCAGCGGGTTCAGGTCCTCGGAGATCCAGCCGTCGTCCGTCCGGAGCCGCGCGAGGCCCTGCTCGTTGACGCGCCGCTCGCGCACCTCGAAGACCGCGTCGCGCTGGAGCGTGTAGAGGTGGGAGCTCGCCAGCTCCAGGCCCCGCCGCACGAACGCGCCGTCGCGGCAGACGACGACGTAGCGCCACGCCGCGCCCAGCCGCGCGTAGTCGCCGACGCAGCACTCGCTCGCGAGGGACCAGCCGCTCGTCGGCCCGCGCACGCGGAGCCAGAGGAAGCCCTTGCACTGGCGCCGCGCGACGGCCGCCGCGAGCGGCGGCTGCGCGCCCGCGGCCGCGGACCGGTCCGGCACCGAGCTCCGCTCGTCGACGCTGAGGCTCCCGCCGCGGCCCAGCGTCGCGACGACGCGCGCGCTCGCCTCCGCCGCCTCGCGCACGGCGCAGGACTCGGCGACGACGTGCCACGTCGCGTAGGCGCCGGCGGCGTCCGCCGGCTCCGACGCCGACCGCGCCCCGGACGACGACAGCATCGCGAGCATGGTATCGATGGTGCCGAGCGGCGCTCCGGCCCGGGCGACGCGCGCCCGGGCCGAAGCGGTGGTGGCGCGGCTTGAGGACGGGCCGAAGCGCGCGGCGGAGAACGGGCAGGACGAGCGCTCAGGCGGCGGTGCGGACACCGACGCAACAAGCGCGTCGCCTCAGCACGGCGCCGCAGCATCGTGCAGGCATCGGCGACATCGTCGCGCACTTGAGTCAGATCTCCCAGCTTCGCGATGATGCAAGTGCTTGCTCTGCTGGCGACGGCGTCGGCGCTCGTCGCGCCGCCGGCGCTCCCGGGATCGCGCGCGCGCCGGGCGCACACCCCCGTGCGCATGCTCGAGCTCCCGACGTTCCCGACCTTCGACCTCGATTCCATCTTCAAGAGCGATCCGGCGACGATGAGCCGCGAGCCCGGCTGGCTCAAAAAAGCCCGCGAGGTGAGCGGCTACGCGGACCGCGTCGCCGAGATCGAGGCCCTCGCCGGCGCCATGGCCGCGAAAAGCGACGAGGAGCTGCGGGGCTTCACGGACGAGTTGAGGCGCCGCCGGAGCGGCGGCGCGTCGCTCGACGACCTGCTGCCCGAGGCCTTCGCGGCCTGCCGGGAGGCGTCGACGCGCGCGCTGAAGCTGCGCCACTACGACGTGCAGCTCGTCGGCGGCATGGCGCTCCACGAGGGCAAGCTCGCGGAGATGGCGACGGGCGAGGGCAAAACTTTAGTGGCGACGCTGCCGCTCTACCTCCGGTCGCTCGACGGCAAGGGCTGCCACGTCATCACGGTCAACGACTACCTCGCGCGCCGCGACGCCGAGACGCTCCAGCCCCTCTTCGACTTTTTGGGGCTGACCGTGGGCGTCGTCCAGTCGGAGTCGACGAGCGAACAAAGGCAGGCCGCCTACGCGGCCGACGTGACGTACGTGACGAACAACGAGCTGGGCTTCGACTACCTGCGGGACCACCTCGCCTACGAGACGCCCGAGCTCACGGTCACGCAGCGGCCCCTCCACTTCGCCATCGTCGACGAGGCCGACTCGATCCTCGTCGACGAGGCGCGGACGCCTTTGATCATCTCGGGCGAGGGCGACGGCGACGCGCCGGCCAAGTACGAGGCCGCGACGTTGGCCGTCAACTACCTCGAGCGGGGCCGCGACTACGAGGTCGACTACAAGGCGCGGCGCGTGACGCTCACGGACGGCGGCTACGAGACCGTCGCGGACCTTTTAGGCGTCGCGGACGACCCGCTCGGGCTGTACGGCGCGGAAACCAAGTGGGCCGCGTACGTCTTCCCGGCGCTCAACGCCAAGGAGCTCTACTTCAAGGAGCGCGACTACATCGTCGACAAGGGCGAGCTCAAGATCGTCGACGAGTTCACGGGCCGCGTCATGGAGGGCCGCCGCTGGAACGGCGGCCTCCACCAGGCCGTCGAGGCCAAGGAAAAGGTCGAGGTCAAGCCCGAGCAGGTCACGGTCGCGTCCATCACCTACCAGTCCCTCTTCCTCCTCTACCCGACGCTCAGCGGCATGACGGGCACGGCCAAGTCCGAGGCCAAGGAGCTCGGCGACACGTACGGCTTGGACGTGCTCAAGGTGCCGACGGCGAAGCCGCTCCGCCGCGAGGACGGCGGCGATCTAGTGTTCAAGTCCAAGCTCGACAAGTTCCGCTACGTGCTCCGGGACGTGAAGCGGCGCCACGCGAGCGGCCAGCCCGTGCTCTGCGGCACGACGTCCATCGAGGACGCGACGCTGGTGTCGCAGCTCCTCGCGAACGAGGGCGTGCCCCACCGCGTGCTCAACGCGAACCCGAAGCTCGCGCGCAAGGAGTCGGAGATCGTGAGCCAGGCGGGCCGCCGGGGCGCCGTGACCATCGCGACGAACATGGCGGGCCGCGGCACGGACATCCTCCTCGGCGGCAACGCGGCGCTGACGGCGAAGCTGAAGCTCCGCGAGGCGCTCGCGCCCGCGGTCGACGGCCGCCTGGGCCCGCTCGTCGCCGTCGAGCCGGGGCTCTACCCCGTGGCGGACCTCGGGGACGCCGTGGACGGCGCGCTCGAGGCCGCGGCGGCCGCCGCCGCGGGCGAGCTCCGGGCCGCGATCTTCGGCGACGTTGCGAACGGCACGGAGGTCGCCGCGGGCGCGGCGCTGGACCGCATCGACGAGTTCGTCGCCGTCGCGTCGGCGCCGGCGTCGTCGCTGACGGCGGCGGGCTCGCCGGGCCTCGCCGCGTGCCGCGCCGCGTACGACGCCGTGCGGGCCGCGTTCGGCGAGGTCGTCGACGCGGAGCGCGCGGAGGTCCGCGCGCTCGGCGGGCTCGCCGTGCTGGGCACGGAGCGCCACGAGTCCGTGCGCATCGACAACCAGCTCCGGGGCCGCAGCGGCCGCCAGGGCGACGCGGGCGCGTCGTGCTACGCGATCTCGCTCGAGGACAAGATGTTCAACGTCTTCGGCGCGGACAAGATGCAGCAGCTCGCCTTCGCCTTCGACATCGCCGGCGACGACGGCGAGCCGCTCCAGTCGGACCTGCTCTCCAAGTCGCTGGCGACGATCCAGGAGAAGGTCGAGACCTACTACCGCGAGATGCGCACGAACCTCGTCCGCTACGACAAGATCGTCGACGTCCAGCGCCGCGTCTTCTACAACCGCCGCCAGCAGGTGCTCACGGCGGACCGGCCCACCGTCGAGGCGCTCATGGGCCAATACGTGGCGGACACGGCCGCGGACACGGTGGCGAACGCGACGCTGGGCCTGGGCGCCGACGGCGACTTCGGGTCCGCGTACGCGGCCGCGGGCGACGTGCTGCGGCGCATGTACCCCGCGGCGGCGGCGCCCATCGACGCCGCCGCCGCGGGTCTGACGGGGAGCGAGGACGCCGAGGCCGCCGAGGCGGCCCTCGTGGGCGCCGCGCGCGCGGGCCTCGCGGACCAGGTCGCGGCGGTCGAGAAGAAGGGCGTCGGCGAGGACGACCTGCCGGCGATGCTCATGCGCTTCTACGTCATGCGCGAGTTCGACGCCGCCTGGCAGCAGCACCTGCGCGACCTCGAGTTCCTCCGCGAGAACGTCGGCTTCCAGTCCTACTCCCAGAAGGACCCCTTCCAGGAGTGGACGATCCAGTCCAACGAGCTCTTCACGAAGCTCTCCGCCAAGGTCTACCGCAACGCCGCCATCGCCTTCCTCTCCCTCGACGTCGACGGCCTCGTGCCCCGGCCCGACCTCGCGCCCCCGACGCCCGTCGTGCCCACGGAGGACGACGCGGCCGCCGCCGCGCCCGCGGACGCGGTCCGCGCCAAGCTCAACCCCGCCGACGACAAGCCGAACCGCGCCGAGCGCCGCGCGGGCAAGAAGAAGGGCGGCAAGTCGCGCCGGCGCTAGGGGGGGCGGCGTTAGGCGAGTGCCGTCGCAGCGCTAGTAGCCGCCGCGGACGAAGGCCGCGACGACGCCGGCCGCGTCGCGCGGGATGAAGGTCGCGACGGCGGCGCCGGCCGCGTCCCGCGGGATGAAGGTCGCGGCGGCGACGCCGGCCGCGTCGCGCGGGACGGCGGCGCACTTGGTGACGACGGAGATCGCAGCCCTCCAAACCGTTTGATTCAACAGATATTCAACGTTGCGAATTTGAACTGCATTTGCTCTGCACAAGGGGGCATGGCTGCCCTCCGATGGTGACCATCATGCCATGCAGTTCGCAAGCACGGCCGCAGCTCCCTGCGAGACGGAGAAGCCGTTCTGGATCGTCGCGCGCCAATCCGGGTCCGTGCAGCGCGACCTCCCCATCTTCGCGACGAAGGCCGGCGCCGTGTCGCTGCGCGCCGAGGGCCCCGGCCGCGTGACGCGGCGCGATTTCGCCGAGGGCATCTTCGTGCTCGACAGCGTGCTGCGCGACGACGAGTGCGATGAGATCATAGAGATGAGCGAGGCTATGGGCTACGCGTCGGACGCGCCCGCGTCGCTGCGCCCGTGTCGCGCCGCCACGGTCGAAGCCGTCCGAAGGAACGCCAACGTCACGTGGATCGTCGACGACGCGCTGAACGACGCGGTCTTCGCACGGGCGAAGCGCCTGCTGCCGCCGACGATCGACCTGCAGACGCGCGACGGCGTCGACTTCTCCCTGGGCCCCGTGGCGGGCCTCAACCGGCGATGGCGGCTCTACCGCTACGGCGAGAACGACGTCTTCGGCTGGCACAAGGACGGCGGCTGGCCGGGCAGCGGCCTCGATACAGACGGCGCGCTCGTCCAGGACCTCCACGACGGCCGGCGCCACTCGTGGCTGTCGTTCCTGATCTACCTCAACGACGACTTCGCGGGCGGCGAGACGAAGTTCGCCCTTGGCGGCGAGGTGTCCGGCGTCGCGCCGAAGAAGGGATCCGTGCTCTGCTTCCTGCACGGCCACCACCCGTTCTCGCCGCTCCACGAGGGCGCGCTCGTGGACGCGGGGACGAAGTACGTCGCGCGGACCGACGTGCTCTACGAGATGCCGCCGTGGTGCCGGGGGACGACATAAACTTCGATTTACGGCCGCGCCGTACCGCGGGCGGCGGCCGATGGCGCCGCGGGCGTCTCACGCGAGGAACGCGCGGGACGAGTAGGGCCCGCGGGACGAGTAGTCGGGCGGCGCTCGCCCCGTGGGCGACGGCGAGCGGTCGCTGAGGCGGTCCTGGGCGATCTTCTCGACGGCGTTGAGCGACGCGGTGAGGAGCTCGTCGCGCGCCGCGGAGCGCATGTCGGAGAACCAGCGGCGCGGCGCGTCCGGGAACTTGCGGCTCACGGGCTTCTTCGGCCGCCCCTTGAGGTGCTTGGCCCGGGCCTTCTTGAGCTCGTCCCGTAACTTGGCGTTCTCGCGGTGGGCGACGACCTTGTCGTAGGGCATGCCGTGCTGCGTCTTGCGGAACATGTCGTCGATGCGCGCCTGGGACGGGGCGACGCGACGTCGCCTCGAAGTGAGCGTGCCGCGCGCGCGCGTTCCAGAAGAAAAAGCGCCCACGCTTCGAAGGCGCTCCGAGAGACGATCGCTCGTCCAAAGATCAGCCGAAACGAGAGAGGCGTCGGGAACGTCGCGCCCGCGTCCCGCCCGGGAGTCGCGCCTGGAAGGCCGCGTGGAGCCGCGCGCAGTGGGACCGCTCGCGCGCGAGCCAGGCGGCGTTCGTCTTCTGGAGGAACTCGCGGATGACCTCGAAGGGCACCGCGGGCACGTGCGTCTGGTGGAAGTCGCGCGCGGCGAGCACCGCGCGGCGCGGCGCCCAGAGCGCGTCCTCGCGGTGGGGCACGACGGGGTCGCCGTTGGCGCCGTGGGCCTCGGCCAGGGCCGCGAAGGCGCTCCACTCGCGCTCGAGGTCCTCCGCGGACGGCGGCGGGTCGCGCGGCGCGTCGCGCCACGCGGACGGCGCGTCGTCGGGCGCGTCGTCGTCCGCGAACGGCGCGGCCGCGCCGGGCCCGACGTAGGAGCAGCCCCCGGGGAAGGCGTCGCCGCCGCCGACGTCGACGTCGCTGTCGCGCCAGAGGGCGCCGAACGCGCGGTACTCGCGCGTCGACGCGAGGAGCCGCACGAGCCGCTGGAGGTCGACGCCGAGCGCCTTCGTCTCCGCGACCTTGAGGTGGTGCGCCCAGGCCCGGTCCCGCGCGGCCCGCGCGTCGGCCTCGGCGACGTCGCAGGCCCGCCGCGCGGCGAGCGTCTCCCCGCGCGCGTGGTCCTCGGCCGCCGCGGCCTCGGCGCGCGCGCGCTCGAGGTCGAGGCACCGCGCGCGGAGCCCGTCGGCCTCGCGCGACGCCGACCGCAGGCGCTGCTCCGTGTCCCCGAGCAGCACCCTGGACGCGGCGACGTCCTCGGCCGCGCGCCGGAGCGCGTCCTCGGCCTCGCGCCGCTCGCCGTCGCACCGCGCGAGCTCGACGGACAGCCGCTCCGCGGCGTCGCGCGCGCGCGCGGCCTCGTCGCAGGACTGGCCCAGCAGGGCCGCCGTCGCGTCGAGCTCGCTCTTGGACCGCGCCGACGCCTCGTAGGCGTCCCTGAGCTGGCCGCGCAGGCTCCCGTTCGCCGTCTCCGTCGCCTCCGTGAGCTCGCGGACGCCCTGGTACGCGGCGAGCCGCGCGCGCAGCGACTCGAGGGTCTGGAGCGACGCGGCCTCGCGGGCCTGGGAGGCGCCCAGAGCCTCGTCCTTCTCCGCGAGCTGGAGCCGCATGGACCGCACCTCGCGCTCGAAGTGGCGCACCTGGCCCTCGAGGTGGCTGCGGTCGATCTGCAGCGCCTTCTCGTAGCTCGAGTCCGGCGGCGGCGGCGGCGCGGCGGCCGCCGACGGCGACGCCTTCGTGCGCTTCAGGAGCCGGGACTTGGGCTTGAGCATGGCGGGAACAGTGGTGCTGGTGGCGTCGTGGAGCGCTGGGAGGCCGCCGGTTTCGTTTGTGGCATGATTGACGGCACCTTGAGACGGAGAGCTCGAGCGCCCTCGCGCTCCGCCCGCCGCGCCGTCGACGCCCAGCGCGGCGCCGTCCTCCTCTCCCAGAGCGGCTCCGTCCGCCGCGCCGTCGTCGTCGCCGAGCGCGGCGCCGTCCCCTTCTTCTAGCATGCGAGCGCTCATCGTCGCGTGCATCGGCCTGGCCGCCGCGATGCGACCGAGCGGTCGACGAGCGGCCGCGTCGCGGCGCGCGCTCCTCGGCGGCGTCGCGGCGCTGCCGCTGGCGCCGCACCTCGCGGCCGCCGAGGAGCCGCGCGAGGCCATCTTCAGCGGCGGCAATCCCATCTTCCTGCAGCCGTGGTTCGACGAGATCAAATACAAAGGCGTGAAGAGCGTCGAGGTCGGCCGGCTCGACGACGACGCCGCGACGCGCGCGGTCCGCGTGACCTACAACCCCGCGAAGTGCACCTACAAGCTCCTCGTGGGCACGTACCTGCGCAACGTCGACCCGACGCGCGTCGACCAGTTCCCCGCCGACGCGACGGAGACGGGCGCCGCGTACCGGCCCGTCGTCTGGACGCGCGACGCCGACGAGCGCGCGGTCGCGCTCGAGGCCATGCGCCTCATGGAGGCGTCCGGCGTCTACGGCAAGGACAAGTCCTACGTCGTCGAGGTCCTCGACGCGTCGCCGCGGGCCTTCGTCGCCGACCCGGCGGCCCAGGACTTCTACAAGACGTCGGAGAAGGCCTACGAGAAGCTCCTCAAGAAGAACGGCCGCGGCGCGTTCTTCGAGAAGGCCTACCGCCCCATCACGACGACGGCCTGCGAGTCGAAGACGTGCGGCTACGTGTACTTCCCCTGCAGCGAGGCCAACGGCTGCGTCGCCGTCGTCGCGGGGTCTTGGTAGTAAGACCTACCGTGAGATGGAGGCAACTGGCCCCGGCCCGTGCCCAGGGCCCCGTGCCGGGCCCGGTGCCGGGCCTCCCCGGCCCGTGCCCGGCCCGTGCCCGGGGCCCGTGCCGAATGCCGGGCCCGTGCCGGGCCGCGTGGCCCGTGCCCGGCCCGTGCCCGGGGGCCCGTGCCGAGTGCCGGGCCCGTGCCGGGCCGCGTGCCCGGAGCGCATTTACCGTGCCGGAGCCCGAGCCTGCCGTGGCCCCCGTCTCGTGGCTCGAGCCTGGTTACCTCTGGTTCGTGCAGCGTGCGCACGTTGCGTCGACTCAAAATCGACGTGCGCACGCCCGCCACACCTCTCACTAGACCTCGTACCTCTCTCGTGGCCTCCCGGTGTCCCAATACGTCCCCCGAAAGAAACGCCCCGCTTTTACGCGCCGTTTTCGCGACGCGCGCGACGCCCCAATCAAAACGTTCGCCACGACCACCATTTCGCCCGTTCCGCCCCCCGGGGGGGGGCGTCATCCCCCGGGGCGCGGTCGTCGTCGGCCCGGGGGGCGGCGAGGGCCACTTCGCTACATCCCCTCCCCCCCGGGGGCCTCGCGGCTCCGCTCGTTCGGCGAACCGACTTCGATCTTCGATCGACCGACGTCCTTCGCGGCGGAGCCGAGCGGGCCCGCGAAATCCGCGCGCCCCACGACGTCCGCGCGCGCGCGCACGACGACCTCAGGCCGGGCGTCCACGACGAACCCGCTCGTAGGTCATGCATCATCTCCTCAAGTTCGTGCTCGTCGCCTTCGCCGCCAACGCGCTCCCCGCGTGCCCCGGCACCGACTCCACGTCCTGGCGCTACAAGGGGCGCAACAAGAAGGACTGCCTCTGGGTGCGCGCGCGGCCGGGCCGCTGCGGCAAGGCGGGCGCCGACGGCGTGCTCGCGCGCGACGCGTGCCCCGCGGCGTGCGGCGTCTGCTGCGGCGACGACCCGACGTGGCACTGGGGCAGGAACCCCTCGAACGACTGCGCTCGGCTCGCGGGCCGCAAGCTTCACCATCCCAACCACTGGAAGGGCAAGGTGCTCAAGCGGTGCAAGAAGACGGGCTCGCTCGGCGTCACGGGCAAGCAGGCGTGCTGCGAGGCGTGCACGGAGGCGCCCGCCGTCTGGACCTTCAACACGAAGGGCAAGATCAAGACCTGCCACAACGTCGAGCGCAACCCCGCGCGCCGCTGCGGCATCGTCGGCGAGGACGGGCGCGCGGCCCACGAGGCCTGCCCGGAGGCGTGCGCCGACCACCAGCCCGCGGCGACGACCACGACGACCTCGGCCGACGAGGAGGAGGCCGTCGTCGGCGAGACGTCGACGACCGTCGCCTTCGAGGTCGCGCCCGAACCGTCCGCCAAGCCGTCGGCGTCGCCGTCCGCCAAGCCGTCGCCCGCGCCGTCCGCGAAGCCGACGCCCGCGCCGTCCTCGAAGCCGTCGGCCTCGCCGTCCTCGAAGCCGACGCCCGCGCCGTCCTCGAAGCCGACGCCCGCGCCGTCCTCGAAGCCGACGCCCGCGCCGTCCGCGAACCCGACGGCCGCGCCGTCCTCGGCTCCCACGACCAGCCCGACGGCCGCCCCCACGGCGGCGCCCACCGAAGCACCCACGATCACGCTCTCGCCATCTTCGGCTCCCACGACCAGCCCGACGGCCGCCCCCACCGAGGCGCCCACGCTCTCGCCGTCCTCGGCTCCCACGACCAGCCCGACGGCCGCCCCCACGGCGGCGCCGACCGAGGCGCCCACGCTCTCGCCGACCGCGGCTCCCACGACCAGCCCGACGGCCGCCCCCACGGCGGCGCCGACCGAGGCGCCCACGCTCTCGCCATCTTCGGCTCCCACGACCAGCCCGACGGCCGCCCCCACGGCGGCGCCCACGCTCTCGCCGTCCCACACTCTTGATTGAATTTGAAAGGTGGGTCCCACCAAAGGGCAATTATTTTAACTAGGGTAGACACCATGCCGACTAACTAGACTAGATTTGGGGGCGGGGCGAGGTTTTTTTTGGGCGTCCTAGTGCGCCTACGGACGCGTGCGGCCGCGCGCGCAGTACAAATTTTGACGGTCATCGGAGAATTTTTTTCTCAAAACCGGCCACAATGCCCGAATTTCGGACAAGGCGGCGCCAGTGGCGCTTCGGTGTCATTGCGGCTGCGGCCGGCGGGCGCCAAGGAGCACGTTGTACTAGTTTCTTCAAGTTCCAGGGATTTGTAGCTTCAACTTGATGATTGAAGTTCAACAAAATCTTCATGTTGAACGACTAACTATTTCATCAGCCCCCGCACCGGCGACCTCACATCTCAAACATGGACACCTTGGCAAAGTGTGCGGAGCGACGTTGGCTCAAGACCGCCGCAGACCTGGGGTTGGAGAACGACGCTCGCGACGAGCTCGAGCCATTCAGCTACACGATGGTCGCGTCGGAACAAGTGCACCGACGGTTCCCCCGCGCGAGCATCGGAACGGGTTCGCGCCTCGCGCACGCGGAGGTCCTCGCCGACGATTTCGCGAAGGAGCGCGCGCTCGGGCACCTACTCGAAGACGCGCTCGGCCGCGTGCGAACGGAGACGCGCGAGCGCGACCTCTTCGATGACCTGCAGCGCCCGTGCCTGATCTGCCGGACGCGCCGGCGCGACGTCGCGCTGTCGTGCAACTGCTGCGTCTCCTGCTCGACGTGCGCGCGCGAGCTCCGCATCTGTCCGCGGTGCGGAAAGCCCGCATCTTTGGCGTGAGCTACCGCCCTTGGACTACCCCCGTCTAGATTACGACGGGGCTCAACACACGGTCACGAGCGGCTTTCCACGCGCGCTACGCCCGCGGGAGAAAACGCTAAGAAACGCAGCCTTCGCCTACGCGTGGGGCGCCTCGTCCGTGCCACTCGTCCTCGACGAACTGCCGCGCCGACTCGCGCGCCGCGGCCGCGCGCGCCCACTCGTCCTCGACGAAGACGCGGCGCGTTACGCGCGCGCGCGGGCGCCGGGGAGGCGACGGACTGGAGCCGACGATGGCTGGCGAGGCGCGGGCGTGGGTATCGACGCCTAGGCGCCGAAGGCGGAGTCGTCGGAGTCGGACTTGTAGGAGTCGTCGTCGGAGTCGTCGGGAGATGGTGATGATGCGGCGCTTCTTCGCCTGGTCCTTGGCGAGCCAGCCGTCGAGGGTCGTCGCCTGGCCGGCGGCCTTGCGCTTGCGCTTCTTCGCGCCGGCGTCGCGGAAGGCCAGCACATCTTAGTCATAGAAATCCGAGTCGCTGCTCTCGGAGCTCGGATCGTCGAGGACGTCGAACTCCTCTTCGTCGGAGTCCGTGGAATCGTCGGCGGTGTTGAAATCGGGCTCTCCCCACATGGCCGCGTAGCTCGAGACTGGCGGTGCGGCGGCGGCGGCGACGTCCTTCCGCGCCGCCGGCACCGCTCGCGCGCCGCGGTCCGTGACCCAGCGCAGCTCGTCGCGCTGCGCACGGCGCGCGCGGTCGATGGCGAGGTCCGCGGCTGTCGGCGGCGGCGGGAGCTCTGGCGGCCGCCGCGTGTCTCGCGACGGTGGCCGCGGCTCCGGGGTCTCCGCGGCGCCGTCCGAGGCGGGCTCCTCGCCGCGGAGGCGCCAGAAGACGAAGGCGGAGACGCCGAGGAGGAGGGCGAGGCAGCCGCCGACGACGGGCATGACGAGCTTGTCGAGGGTCCGGAGCAGGGCCACGAGGTGGCGTTTCCGCCGCCGCGCTCTTCGCGCGTCGCGGCGCGAGTCGCCGACGCCGTCGTGGAGGCCGAGGGCCGCCTCGGCCGCCGCGTCGAGGTGCGTGCGGATCGCGTGGTGCGCGTTGCGGCCGAGGTCGGCGACGTAGTCGCGGTCGAGGTAGTAGGCCTTGCGCACGAACAAGCCGCTCGACGCGAGGCGCGCGCGGCGCTGGAGCGACGGCGCGGCGCCCGGCGCGCCGCCGGCGTCGTTCGTGAGGTGGTGCGTGAGCTGGAGGTGCCCCCCGCGCCGGCGGCCGAGGCCGTAGGCCGCCGCGAGCCGCGACACGAGCGCCTCCGGGTCGCGCAGCGCGTCTTCGTAGGCGACGACTTCGACCGCGGCGCCGTCGGCCGCGAGGGAGTCGCGCAGGGCCAGGGCCCCGCGCGCGGCCCGGGCGCGCGCGTGGAGGAGGTGCTTCACGTGGGCCTCGGACTCGCGCGAGCCGCCGCGGACTTTCGCGTCGTCGGGGTGCGGCCGCCGCGCGGACGACGCGACCCAGGCGTAGGGGTCCTTGGCGACGAAGACGACGAGCGTCGACCGCGCCGCGGCGGAGCCGGGTCGCAAAAGACCCTCGAGGAGCGCGCCGGGGTCGTCGCGCGGCGGGTTCGCCGCGGCCGCGACGCGCGCGGCTTCGCGCGCGGCGGCCATCGCGGGCTCGAGGTGGTGGTCGTGGTCCCGCGCGTCGAGGGGCGCGACGTAGAGGTTGTCGAGGAGGAGCTGGCGCACGTAGGTCGCGCCCGACTTCCGGCTCCCGGCGACCATGAGGAGCGACGGCGAGAACGCGGACCGCGCGGTCTCGGGCGCCTCCGCGGCGACGTAGCGGCCGTAGGCGTCGAAGCGCGCCTCGTCGGGCGCGGCGAGGTGGGGCGCGTCGCGGAGCCTCGCGACGGCGCCGTGGAAGCCCAGGGCGACGACGACGACGGCGGCGAGCACGCCCGCGGCCTTGCTCCGCGCGATCTCCCGCGGCGGCCGCCGCGACGCGGTCCGAGAGTCGAGCCACGCGGCCCGCGCGCGGGCCCAGAGCGACGCCGGCGCCGGCGCCGGCGGCGCGGGGACCTCGCTCGACGCGCGCGTCGACGACCAGGCCTCGCCGCGGCCCAGGGGCTGCCCGGCGCCGGGGAAGCGCGACACGGCCGCGACGTAGACGGCGCCGTCGGCGGCGCCGAGCCGCGCCGTCGCGCGCTTCTCCAGTTCCTGCTTTTGCAGGCGACGCAACTTGGCGGCGCGCTGCCGCCGGGCCAGGCCCAGCGCGACCATCGTGTGAGAGAGCCGCTCGAGCTAAACGGCAACTAATGGGCTGCGACCGCACCTTGCAGTGCACCATCGACTCGCGCGCACTGCCGGCGCAATGGGCGCTCGCTTGTGAGAGCTTGCAACAGATAAAAACCGGCGCGCCGTTCGCTCGCTGCCGCGCCATGGACCTGGCCCACACGCGCACGCTGCGCGGCCACGTGGGCGCCGTGCTCTGCGCGCGCTACACGAAGGACGGCACCTACGCCGTGACCTGCGGCGCGGACCGGAGCGTCAAGCTCTGGAACCCGAAGCGCGAGGCGCCGACGACGGGCGCCCTGCTCATCAAGACCTACGAGGGCCCCCACAGCAAGGAGGTGTCGAGCGTCGCCGTCGCCGACGACTCGGCGCGCATCGCGTCCGTCGGCGGCGACGCGACGGCGTTCGTCTGGGACGTGGCCACGGGCGCCGTCGCCCGGCGCCTCGAGGGCCACACGTCCCGCGTCAACTGCGCCGCCTTCTGCGGGCCGGGCCACTGCGTCCTGGCGACGGGGTCCTACGACCAGACGGTCAAGCTCTGGGACCTGCGGTCGCAGTCGCGACGCGCGCTCCAGACCGTCGAGGACTTCAAGGACAGCGTGACGGCGATCGCCGTCGCGGCGCGCAAAGACGCGGCGGGCCCGAAGCGGCCCAACGGCCGCGGCGCGGCGCCCGAGCGCGGGTTGGTCGCCGCGTCCGTCGACGGCACCGTGCGCACCTTCGACCTGCGCAAGGGCCGCGTGCACGAGGACGCGCTCGGCGTGCCCGTGACGTCCGTGGCGCTGAGCCGCGACGGCGCCTGCGTCGCCGCGTCGTGCCTCGACTCGTCCGCGCGGCTCCTCGAGCTCGACAGCGGCGCGCAGCTCAATCTGTACACGGGCCACGCGCACTGCAAGTACGCGCTCGAGTGCACCTTCTCCCACAACGACGCGCACCTCGCGTCGGGCTCCGAGGACGGGGCGCCCAAGGTCTGGCGCCTCGTCGAGGCGACGGTCGCCGCGGACCTCGCCGGCGCGCACAAAGCCGCGGCGACGTCCCTCGCGTGGCACCCGCGCCAGGCCGACGTCCTCGTCGCGTCCCACGACGGCACCGTGTCCCTCTGGGAGAAGCCGCCCTAATCTTCTAGTCCGCTGCAGCGTGTTTACTACTACGTCGTCCCCTTGAAGTCGCGCGACGTCTTCGCAAACTCGCGTGCGGCGATGACGGCGGCGTTGAAGGCGGCGGTGCCCTCCACAAGGTCGCTGTGTGCAAGGACGAACTCACGCGTTGCCTTTTCGGCTCGCTCGAGACGCGCGGCCTCCTCGGCCTGCTTGCGACGTGCGGCCTCGGGCAGCTTGGCCCTCGCGCGGCACCTGGCCAAGGCAACCGCCGGGTCCAATAAGAACGGTGCGAATATGTGGCCATACGTCGGACCTTCTTCCGAGCCGAGACACCAGACGTTTTCATCATCAATACACATGCGACCAAGGGGCTGGCCGTCTGGCGAAACGATCGTCTGCAGCGGTGTGCCATCAAGGTCCAGAACCTGAAGTCGAGGGCTTCCTTGTTCGCTGACGTACAGTCGTCCATGGCCCACGGCGACACCGAATGGGTAATGGAATTCCCCGCCGGGTGGAGGTATCGACGACAGATGGCTGTCAGCGATCCCCCCCAACATGCGCACGAAGGCGCCTGTCTCGTGATTAAAAACCTTGATAGCGTTGACATGCGGATCGGCCACGAAAACAAGGTCACCGCCGACGGCGAGAGATGAGGGGCAATTCAGAGTCTGCTCAACGTTGCCTGGGTCGGTGCATCCGAACCGAAACCGATACTCACCGGTTTCGACGTCATACACCGAGATGCCGCCAGAGGGGCCACCATCCGAATCAGACTCGTCATCCGAGTCGTTGAAATCGAAATCATACAGCACCAAGAGCTTCTCTCCAGCAACCGCGAGATCTTTAGGATGACAGCGAAAAGTATCTAGCTCCATCATGCGATCTACGGTGATTGCATCCATAAGCACGACGCTGCACGGGTCGCTCTCGAGGACCCAACATTCTTTATGGCTGCTGCGCAGTGCTATGGCAGTTGGCGTACGGATCACCCATTCGGAACCCTCCTTCGTGCATGCCACGCCCATGAAGTCGCCCTGCCGCGAGAAACCTTTGAGGCAATCGGCTCCGTAGTCGGCGACAAGGACGCCCCCGTCTGATTCCCCGTATGGCACCGCGGTGAGTCCGCCGTCGTAGCCGAACGGCCCGATGCGTCGAACCACGCGCAGCTTCCCGCGGAGCGCCCGCTCTCGCGGCTCTAGCCACGCCTTCGTAATCGCGGAGCTCTGCCACGCCTCCTCGGGCGAGAGGTAGCCGAGCACATGGCCCAGCACATCGTTTGAAAACCAGCGCTGCCGTGACGAGGTCGCGGCGACCTTCGATGACGGCGTGGCCATCGTTCCAGCTTTTGAAGAGCCTGCAGCAGCGCGAGCGACCAAACAGTACTGCGCGCACGCGACGAGCTCGAGCAGCGCGCGACGAGCGGCGCGACGAGGCGCAGGCCGCCTGAAGGAGGTTTTGTTGCCTGTGCAAGTTGCAGCAGTTGCACTTTTGAACACGGGGCTGCGACTCCTGCCACTCCTGCTGCTGGACCAGGGCTGCTGCTTGCGCCGCTCGTCGTCGTCGATGGGTGACAAGGGGAAGGCGCCGCGGCGACCCGGGGCGTGCTGGTGCACGGGCCTGCTGGCCATCCTGGGGCTCGTCGGCGCCATCTTTTTCTGCACGCTGGGGCTTTCGTCCTGGTCGGAGACGACGCACCACGAGGTGACGAAGCACCCCGTGGAGATCTTCGAATTCGACAGCAAGTCGCGCTGGGTCGACTTCGACGGGAACTTCGAGTACGGCAAGCTGCGGCCCCTGGCCGCGACGAAGCTCCGGGGCGCGGGCGCGAAGACGGCCGACGAGGCGCACGCGTCCGGCGAGCTGCACCGCGGCGTCGCCGTCGCGGTCCTGCGGCCCGCCGCGGACCGGAAGCGCAACGACTGCGACGTGCTCCTCACGAAGCGGGCGTCCCACATGGCGACCTGCGCCGGGAGCTGGACCCTCGTCGGCGAGCACGCGATGGAGGGCGAGACGTTCCGCCAGACCGCGGTGCGGGCCCTGTCCGAGGAGCTGGGCCTCGGTAAGGACGGGGTCGAGATCGCCGACCTGCTGCCGCCGGCGGAGGGCGGCGGCGAGTCCTTCGTGCTGCTGCAGACGCCCTACGCGGATTTGGAGCGCGATTTACAAGCCACGGGCGTCTTCGCGGCCAAGCTCAGCCGCCGCGCGGCGCGGTCCGTGAGCTTCGACAAGGACGTCGACGAGTGGAAGTGGGTCGAGCAGGGCGAGCTCCGCGACGTCGACGCGTGCACGCCCGAGATCGCGGCGCTGAACCGCGTCATCCGGGACAAGCTCTGGGACGCGTTCCCCCGGAAGAAGGGCGTCTAACATGCGCGTTTAGGCGAGGTCCTGCGCGAGCGTCGGCGCCTCGTCGCGCGTGCGCCGGAGCAGGGCGAGGAGCCGCGGCGCGTCGTCGTCGAAGTCCGCGCCCATGCGGAGCGCGGCCGCGTAGGCGGCCTTCCACGCGGCGAGGTGGGCCGGGTCCGGCGGCGGCGCGAGGATCTGGTCGAGGCTCGCCTTCTGGACCTGGAGCTTGAGCACGGTCTGGAGCTTGTCGAGGAGCGCGCGGCAGACGACGGGGCCGCAGCCCGCCTCGTCGCCGCCGGCCGCGCGCGCGGCGATCTCCAGCGCGTCCGCGGCGCCGAGCACGACGTCGAGGGCGCGGCGGCCCGCGTCGTCCGGGTCCCGCAACAGCACGGTGGCCAGGTCGACGCGCATGGACAGCGCCTCGAGCGCGTTCGCGCGCGCGTCGCCCGTCGAGGCCGCGCGCTCCGCCGCCGCGACGGCCGCGCGGAAGTGCGCGACGGCGTCCGCGGGCACGGTCGCCCCGCCGTCGCGGCGCGCCGCGAGCGCCGCGCAGCGGTAGCGCGCGTCGGCGACGACGGCGTCCGCGCCCGCGGCCTCGGCCGCGGCCGCGGCCGCGAGCAGCGCGGCCTCGGCGTCCGCGGGCGTCGGCGCGGCCGCCGCGAGGCGCACGCCCTCGCGCGCGACGTCGGCCCGCGCCACGGCGAGCGCCTCGAGGACGCCCAACGTGTCGACGCCCGGGAGAAGGACGCCGGCGCCGCCGCCGGACTCGGGCTCGTCGGCGACGTCCGCGAGCGCGGCCTCGAGCGCCGCCAGCGCGGCCTTCGTCTTCGCGTAGCGCTTCGCGGCCGTCGGCGCGCCGCCCTCGCGGTCCTGGAGCTTGAGCTGGGCCCAGGCGAGGCGCGCGCGGAGCCAGGCCGCGGACCGCGCGTCGCCGAGGCCTCTAAAGAGCTCGACGCCCTGACTCCAGTGCCGCGCGGCCTTGGTCAGGCGGTCGACGGCGAGGTAGTGCTCGCCGAGCGCCGTGTAGAGCGCGACGAGCGCCGCCGCGCAGGCGCGCAGGTCGTTGCCGTCCGCCGGCGCGTCCTTGCGGCGCCGCCGCGGCCGGTCGGCCGCGGGCGCGGGCGCGGGCGCCTCGCCGCCTCTGAGCGCGGAGATGAGCGCCTTGATGCCGCGCGACAGGTTGACCTCGACGTCCGGCGAGCACTCCACGGGGAACTCGCGCAGGATCTTGGCGGGAAGCGGCCCGGGCTTCGGCGGCCGCGGCGCGGGCGCGTCGTCGTCGCTGCCGTCGGGCGCCGGCCTGTGTGGAAATCAACCACTGGTTTGGGGGGTCCCCACCAAACTTCAGAACTCTCTATCTCGGCCAAATCGAAGTCGATTCGGCTGATTTTTGGACGGATCGATTGCTCTCGTCGAGTTCTCGAAGCACGGCAGAAGAGTCTGGTCTAACTCGTTCGATTACACGCACATTGAAGTCGGGTTGAAGATTTGATTTCCACACGGGCGCCGGCGCGGGCGGCGGCGACCCCGAGAAGCGCCGCGGCTTCGGCGGCCGGTCGCCGAGGTCGCCGCGGTGGTCGTCGAGACTCGCCGCGTCGACGCGGGCCGCCAGGAGCGCGTAGACGAGCGCGAGGCGCAGCTTGAAGGCCGGGGCCGCGGCGGCCGCGGGGTCCGCGGCGTAGGCCAAGGCCAGGTGGCGGAGCGCGAGGGCCGGCCGCCGGCGCGAAAAGGCGAGGGCCGCGAGGCCGAGGCGCGCGTCCGCGCCCGCGCGCCGGAGCCGCGCGCCGACGGCGCCGGAGTCGCGTTTCTTGGAGGCGCCCCGCGCGCTCGACGGCGTGTCGTCGGAGTCCCGGCCCCGCCGCGGCGCCGCGCGGCGCTCCGCGCGCTGGAGCGCCGCGAGGCCCAGGGCCGACCGCGTCGCCGCGCTCTTCAAAGCGTCCTCGAGGTCGCCGCAGGGCGCCGGCGCGTCGCGCGCGGGCGAACCGCCGCCGCCGCCGCGGGGCGCGGACGCGCGCCACGGCGGCGCCGCGCGCGCGCCGAGCGCGTCGCCGCCGAAGGTCGCGAGCGCCGCGTCGAGGCGCGCGTCGACGGGCTCGTGGCTCAGCGCCACGAGGAGGTGCGCCTCGGCGACGACGGCCGCGTCGCTCCGCGCGTCCGCGAGCGCGACGCAGCGATCGAGGAGCCGCCGGCACCGCGCGCGGTCGCCGCGCTCCACGCGCCGCGCGATTCTCAGACAGAGCAGGGCGCAGGCCCGCGCGAAGGGCGTCGCGCGCGCGGGGCCCGAGCTCCTGCGCCCCTTGTCGTCGTCGACGCGCCAGAGCTCGACGGCCTCGCCGTCGTCGCCGCCCTTGCGCGTGAGGCAGTACGTCGCCGCGTCGTCCGTGCAGTGGCGC